GCTTGGATACTTCCTGACCTGGAAGAAATAGCAGCTATATTGTTAGGGCAGGGTCTCAGTACTACAGTCATAGGAAAGTGAATTCTACCAACCACCTCAGTAAGTTTGCAAGTGGTTCCTAATCTTCAGATGCAAATGTATCCCAGTCAACACCATGATATGACATTTGTCAGACTTAAACCAAGAAACCAGCTAAGTTGTACACTCTCAATCCATGAGAACTCTGAGATAATAAATGTGCATTTTGTTTGTTTGGGCTGGAGCGATAGCACAGTGGGTAGGGTGTTTGCCTTGCACAAGGCCCATCCGGGTTCGATTCCTCCGCACCTCTCGGAAAGCTCGGCAAGCTACTTAGAGTATCCTGCCTGCATTGCAGAGCCTGGCAAGCTTCCCATGGCGTATTCGATATGCCAAACACAGTAACAAGTCTCACAATGGAGACGTTACTGGTGTCCGCTTGGGCAAATCGATGAACAACAGGAGGACAGTGACAGTGACAGTGGTTTCTGAACCACACCTGGTTGTTCTCAGAGTTTACTATAGGTTCTATGTTCAGGGGTGACTCCTGGTGGTGCTTGGGGGACCATCTGGGTGCCTGGTGTTGTACCCAGCTTGGCTGTATGCAAGGTAAAATAGTACCTGATATAGTACCTCTATGGCTTCTAAATGTGCATTGTTTTTAACTACTAAGTCTGTGGTAATGTTTGATGTGGCATTCAAAAACAAATATAGGCCGTTACCAACAGAAATGGCCAAAAGTTGAGTAGGAGCACAGTACAAAAGATATAAATCAGCCCACAAATGAGGAAGGATTGGGCATTCCAAAGTCTGTCTTTGGACAGAGAACAGCAAATTATAGGGCAGGGGAGCCCTAATAATATGAGGCTGAGATTGTTTATAGTTTAATCTTTCACTAACTAAATCCTGTGGGACCTCTGTCATCAGTATGTCAATATCTCTTGCAGGGATAACTTTTATTTTCTTTTTTTGGCATTGAATAAGGGCGTCACATGCAAGGCCTGAGCTCCCCACTGAGCCTCCTCCAGCCCTATAGGGCCAACTTTCATTGCCTCCCCAATGGGAGCCCTTGTTCAGACTCTGTGAGTATAGAGAGGAAGGTATCATTATGTCCATGGTCTGGCTGGAGAGCCAAATGCACACAGATGTGTGTGAGTGCTCCCTGAAGGAGTGACTGAAGGACCCTGGGAACACAGTGGGCTAATCTGCCTGGCAGTGGCGTGTGGGGGGAGCTGGTAGAGGAGAGATTGCAGAGAAGACACTTTTGATTCATACAGGGCAGATAGAAAACAAACTTTGTGACGGGAGCACCTAGAGATGCCATAAGGGACCTGGCATGATCCCTGGTACCACATCTGGTCTCCCAGACAGCAACTCTAGAAGGGCATCCCTGAGCACATAGTCAGGGGAAGGGGGCCCAGATACCCCTACATAAATAAAAGGATAAAAACTTTTTAAAAGTGTGTGTCTGTAAATGTGTGTATAATTTAGGGACCATACCCAGGGATGCTGGGGAGGCATTCCTAGCTCTGTGCTCAAAGGCTACTACCAGGGGTGCTAGGACAGGGAGGAGGAAACCAAACAGAGTCAGGGACTGAACCTGGGTGCCACATGGAAAGCCCCTCTCAGGCTCTCCTAGTCATATCCAGCTCCTAGCTGTATCGGCATTTATAACTATATCTATGTATTTATATATAGATACATAGGTAAATACAGATATAGACGTAGAGATAATCTGTGTCTCTATGGATATCTGTCGATACCTACATGTTTATATATGTATCTATATTATATACATATATTTGCCTATGTATCTATATATAATCTATATCTATATCTATCTTCTATGTCTAGCTATGTGTTTATATGCCTATATTTGTGCCTATAACTCTGTCTCTATCTATATCTATATCCATATCCTTATGTCTATGTCTATATTTCTATGTAGTTTTAATTGCAACTGCATATGAGTACATTATGAGAGAAGAAGTACGTTTGAGATTTTATATGGGAAAGCCCTCACTATATAAAAAAGCAAAGAGATTAAATAGATCTTTGTTAATATTGACAACTGACGGAAGAGGACACACACAAAACTATGCACAGAGGACCAATTTTTTGTCTAGTGAGAAAGTCTGCGTGTTTCCCATTAGAAACAGGTCACAGGAGGAAAGAGAAGGTCCAAAAAAGTGGCCAGGAGGGGTAGGGTACTGTCAGCACCTCCTCATGGGTCTATTCCTACCATGAAGCACATGGCCCCTCTAACTGTGAGGATGGAGTTTTTGTTGAATTATAAACCCGTGAGTCATCACAGGATCCCAGAAGCAAATTAAAGTATGGAGGCAGAAGCCTCTGCACTTTTCTTCATCATGGAGCTGGAAGAGGGAGCATTTCAGGCCTGCAGTGTTGGAGGGATAAGGCAGAGGATAAGAATTGAAAAACCTCAGGCCAGAGAGACAGATCAAAGAGCTGAGCACTTGCTTTGTAGACAGAAGGTCCAGGTTTTATCCCCAGCACCACTTGGTCCCCTGAACACTGTGGGGAGTGATCCCCAGGAGTACCCAGCACAGGCACAGATAAATCCCCAAGCACTGCCAGGTATAGTTCAAAACAAAAAAGAAAAAGGGAAAGGGAAAGGAAAAATGTAAGAAATCCACAAGATCTCTTCCAAGGTTTGGATAGAGTGGAAGAGAAAGTCACACAAGGTCCAAGGAGTTAAGATGTCCAGGGGCTAAAGAGCAGTTCAGGGAATCTAACCCAGCACCCTTGTTGGGCCCTGTTTGATCCCTGAACCCTGGCACGACTGTTATGGCACTTTTCAGCTCAGGTCACTGAGGATCTGACTTCCTTATAACTCCTTCAGCAAAAACTTTTCACCCTCTGCTGATTCACCCTTGCCCTTTCCCTGTTCTTCATCTCAGTTACTTTCTTTCGGGATGGTTCATCTCAAACCCAAAAGGACCTTTATCTTGATGAATTTAATGAACTGCTTAGAGGCTGTATTATAGAGAAGGAACCTTCCTCTCTTCTGACTCAGAGAAACGGTGTTCTCTTTCCAATAAGCCTAATAACTTGGCTGTCTGTGCTGATAATTCCTCCCTCCCTCCTTCCCTCCCTCCCTCCCTCCCTTCTTCCTTCCTTCCTTCCTTCCTTCCTTCCTTCCTTCCTTCCTTCCTTCCTTCCTTCCTTCCTTCCTTCCTTCCTCCCTTCCGTTATTTACTGACAGCTATTGTTGGACATAGATACTGATACTACTGTAAGCTTTGGGATAGACCATTGAGTGGGAACTTCAGGATCTAGGCTCTCTCAGAGCTAATATTCTAGTTAGGGAAACAAAAAACAAACAAAAGTGGTGAGCAAATAAACGAAAAGTTCAGCATACTGAACTCCAAAAAGAAAAAGAAAAAAATTTAAAAAGTAAGTGCTTCAAAACTCCCATTGAGATATCTATCTCAACATATTTTATTCCAACTGCCAAAAACAAAACAAAACAAAACAAAAAACTTAAGACAAAAATCTAGGGAACCATGCTGACTGATCCTTTTTACTCATTATACACTTTTAATTAGTCACAAACCCATGTTGATGCCAATTCTCAATAGCTGTCAAACTCATCTTGTCTCATCTCTGAAACATCAAGATTCCAATATTTGTCCAGCTTACTGCAGTATTTTCCGGACTGATCTCTCCTCTTGAGGCCTGTCCTCTTCTTTTTCATATCATACTCCCACTTAAAATGGATAAGAGAACAGGCAAGGGGAATTTTTTTTTTTTTGCCAACGGCCATTTTGATATTTATAGCATCATTCATGGGCCACACAATACAAGCAGATGGGCTGTGGCAGCCCAATAAGAAGCACCTGTGTCTATCCCAGCAGCTTCCAGGACCAGATACCATGATGACACAGGCCTTACACAGCCTGCAGTCTGGATATTTTCCACCCTGCTCTATAGTTTCTCAAGTCCTCTTCATCCTTCCTAGCTCAGCATGCACAGTCTTGCCTTATCTGGGTCCTTTTTCAGGTGCTTTCTGCACACTCACCTGCCCCATGTAATTCTAATAAGCTGTATCCTCACTAATAGTGCCCTCAGCTCATTCTCCTCTAACTTCCTCTTATAATTGTAGATCAAAGGCCATCTCATTTCTTATAAGGATCCTTAGGGTCCTTATAAGAGTTATATTGAGAATAAGCCACTGCAATTGCACTGTTTATGGTTTGTTTTCCTGATGGAGTTTTCTCACAGTTGAGGGAGAACATAATTAACATATAAATAAAATTTCCCTGTTTATAATGAAGCCAGTTTAGAATACAGACTCTGAGCTAGGAGACCTGGCTCCTTTATTGTATTAATAAAATGGACTCATGCAGAGGAAATTTTTCTTTCTCATCTATGTTTTGGCTGCTTGATACTTGTTATTACACTTTGAGCTTCTAACACATTATCCTTAATGACTAGGAAGTGAGGCTGATGGATCACAAGATTAGAGCCAAATCCCTGGGAGATAACCATCCTGACCACACACGTAACAGTAATGCACTGCAAGCCGCTGGCCCTGAGAGGTAACTAAGACCATTTCCATTTTGAGACTTCAGCCTGGAACATTTTGCAGCCACTGCCTACTACCAAAGTACAGGGAGAATCCACCAACCAGACACTTTGCCTGGAAGGATCTGGAACTACATACCACCACCAAACCCAGGTCAGCCAGAAAATGCCTTTGTTAGGCTGAGATCCCTGACATAGCTGAGACCCCATGACCTTAGGCAGAGTTTTTAGGATTATTGAAAGAACAAGATGATTTCTGGAAATGCATATTTTTTACCCAAAACCTATCTCTTGCTAAGGTTTCTCTCCCACACGGGTACACGAGCAGCACATACATCTAGTTCTTACTCTCCTACAAAGCTAACCCTGACCTGCAACTGTGTCTGTGTCTCTGAGTAGACCAAAAAGGCTAGTGAAGAATTCCATTCTCTTACTTGTATTCAGCAGAGTGTGGATCTTTTTTTCTTCTTCAGCTTCTTGGATGAGCTTTTCTGCCAACGTTGCATCCTCTGATTCCACACATGCATCAGATTCTCGGAGGTACTCCAGGTAGTCGATCTCCCGCTGGGCACGCTCCACCCTCAGTGCCAGGTGATTGACTGCACTCTTGTACTCAGTTGTGTGACTCTGACATCTTCCCACCAAGGCTGATATGTTTCTGGAAAACTCTCGGAATTCTTGAATGTATGCCCTTGTGGCCTGCGTGCATTTTTCCAGTCCTCGCTTGAATTAGAAAGTAAATTTCCAAATTATTACAAGTCAAATTACCCAAGTACTATAAACAGCTATCATTCATAGAAAATTATGTTTAAATTACAATGAATTAAAAAAAGGGGGGAAATAAATATCATGAATAACTCCTTCAAAGTTCTATTGATGTTAAATATATAAGTTTTTAAATGTTCTTAATGATTTACATTTAGACAGAAATATAGAAATATATTTAAATGTAATTTCACTATGCTTTGGTTTGTTTGCAATCAGGATCAAACTCAGTGTTCTCCCACTGAATCACATCCCTGGTCCATGTTTTATAACATTTAGTAGGATTGGGGTTGGGACCAAACCTTTGCTGCTCAGGGATCACTCATGGCAGTGCTCAGTGATAACTCCAGGAAGTGCTCAGGAGACCATACATGGTGTTGAGGATCAAACCAGGGTTAACAATATAAGGTGAGGGCCTCAGTTACTGTGCTTTTTCACCGACCCCCCTTTATAACATTTTTAACTTGCTGATACATCATAAACATATTCCCATACTAGGAACATAAAGTAACAAAATAGGAAACTAACACCCAAGAATGGCAGAGATTAGTACCAGGAATTTTACTCAATGACCCGGAGGACAACCACACATGTTAGGGGAAAAGGGAGCTCAGAAAGAGAAGGGAACACCAAATAAAGGGTGTTGGGAGGATCCACCCAGGATGGGAGAAGCATGCTGAAAGTAGACTATCGACCAAACATGATTGCCACTCAATGCCTCTTTTGCAAACCACAGCACTCAAAAGGAGAGAGAGGGAAATGCCCTGCCACAGAGGCAGGGTGGGATGGGGGCTGGGGAGTGGGAGGGATACTGGGATCCGTGGTGGTGGGAAATGCACACTGGTGGAGGGATGGGTGTTTGATCATTGTATAATTGAAACCCAAGCACAAAAATGTGTAAGTCTGCAACTGTACCTCATGATGTCTCACTATTAAAAAAAATAAATTAAAAAAAACATATTCCCATACTAACTAATGTATCTTTATACCATCACTTAACACTTTTGTTTGTTTGGGAGATATATCCAGTAGTGTTCAGGGGCCACTCTCAGCTTTGTGCTTGGAGGTTGCAGGGTGGTGCTGGGTGGTGCTTTGGGACTATATATTGCCAGTGACTGAACTCAGGCCCTTCACCTGGGACGCATGCACTCCTGTCCACTGAGCTATCTCTCTGACCCCCAAAAAGTATTTTTCATGTATGGTTCCAGGGACTGAACCTAGAATCTCACATATGCAAGACAAGTATTCTGCTTTTGAGCCATTCCCTCAGCTTAAACCATAATTTAACCTGCTTTTGTTTGGGGACCACTACCAGTGGTGTTCTGGGATCACTCCCATACATAGTGTCTGAGATTGAACCCAGGTCAGCCTCATGCAAGGCAAGAGAGCCTTACATGTTGTACTATCTCACTGGTCTGGAACCATAAATTTAGTTATAAAAAATTCCACTGAATTGATAACTGGTGACTTTTTCTGGTAACACCTTTTGCTAGATATTTATGTAGTTTTGCTGCTTTCTTCTTCTTCTTCTTCTTCTTCTTCTTCTTCTTCTTCTTCTTCTTCTTCTTCTTCTTCTTCTTCCTCTTCTTCTTCTTCCTCCTCCTCCTCCTCCTCCTCCTCCTCTTTCTTCTTCTTCTTCTCAGGGACTACTCCTGGCAGTGCTCAGCCTTATGGTGCAGGCCGGACAGTGTAGTGCTCAGGGACCACCTCTTGATGTTCAGTGTGTGTGAGAGAGCCATGAGGTGTCAAAGATTAAACTCATGAAGGCTTGTATGTTCTAGGCACATAGTCTATTGCCGAGCAATCTGTCTGGGCTTCATTCTCTTTCTCTCTCTCTCTCTGTTTTAGGGCCACATCCAGAAGCCCTCTGGGCTTATTTCTAGTTCTGTGCTCAGGGATCACTCCTGTTGGGGCTTGGGGGATCATATGGGTTGCCAACGATTGAATCTGGATTGACTGTATGCCAAGCAAGTGCCCTACCCTCTGTGCTTTCTTTTGGTTCTTATTTTTTTTTTTTCCTGTTCAAATAACATTAAAGAAAAATACTACATTTACATAATTCTTATACTTACTTGGTTATTTTCTTAATAAAAATTTAAAGGGAAAAATTCCATCTCTAACACGTGACACATAACAATACTCACTGAACATTTATTGAATAAAAGAATGGACAAATAGATAATGGAAAATGGTATTGTCAGGTAAATAATGTATATACCTAAAACACATGTGGCAGCTACCCCAGTGCTTGCCATTGAAGTTGTATAAATTATACTCCAAGCAGCAGTATCTGAGACACTTTGAAGGGAAAGTGAGAAAGATTGTGAAGGAAGGGAAGGTGAGGGGAGAGAAAGAGAAGGGAAGGACATAGAGGAAGAAAGAGCAAGAAGGGGGGCAGGGATAGAAAGAGAGAGAAAGAAAGGAAAGAGACTGAGTGGGAGGAAGAAAAGGAGACAAAGAAAGCAGTCAAGGATCTCATGTCCAACAGTGACAGCCACCGGGACTTGGCTTCCTCAGTCCTGTGGAAAGATACACAAGAATCACACCTCCCATCTTTTAGAAAATCTATACTCATAGCTGCCAAAGTATTAGCCTCTACTTTGTGCCTTGGTCTGAAAAATTCTTATAGAGGAAAGTTTTGCAGGGAATTCGCTGGTGCAATCTCAGGGAAGCAATTGAGCTTGATTTTGGCACCTGGAAGGAAGTGAGTGGGAAGGCAGTGTATAGAAGAGAACAGGTGAAAAAACAACCAGAGGCTACTGGCTAGGGAACGTTTGATCCACTGCCCCAGGTCTCAGTTTTTTGGCTGAACAACCCTAAGATTGCCTTCAGCTTGCCTTGCACATTTATTTCCCTCCCACTCGAAACAGATGAACAGATAGTCAGGACTAGAGGAATTAGCAGGGGAAATGGAGAAAGTAAATGTTGGAGATAGAAGTCTCTTTGAAAGAATATAAACACTTTATCAAAATTTAACTTGTACAAAAGCAAGGCAATTAAGTATAAAATAATTAATATCAAAGCCACTGATGCATCCCAAGCTAGAGTGGAGAGGTTACATTTATCCATGGAAACTTACATTTGACAAAAACATTGGGTTTTGTACATTTTAAGGAGGCAGCAGCTGAGACATAGGGATAAGATGTCCTAGGCAGTTTCTCTGTTTAATGTTTAGAAATGATCAGAATTCTGCTAATTTCTAAATCCAAGTGCAGTTTGTCAAAAGAAGTTAAGCTTCTTGGTATAGCTATACCATGACTTTTTACAGTTACCTAGTTAATGGTTTATGATAAAAAAAAGATAATCCAAAGCTTGTTATAATTTTGATTTAGTACAACACGAAGAAAAGGTGACCAAATTTTTAATTTTTGGTTTTAAAATAGAACCATTGAGAAAAAAAAACATTTTAGACATTTATCACCACGCCAGACAATATCATGAGTATGGATCAACTAAAAAAAAGTCTTTCAAACGGCCAGAGGAGATGCATTCTAGTCTCCTCTCCCCATTTTACAGATGAGAAGAGCTGCTGGAGGAGACCAGAGTGAAGCGTTGCACAAGGTCTGGGAATGTGTAACCGGGACGCTGGAGCTGGGGCTATCTTTGGAGTGTGGCTTTGGCCAGTTCTATCATTGATATCCTGGGGAAGATGCATTCCCCAAACAGCCAGGTAAGATATGGTGACTTCTAGGGGCAGGGGGTATCTGTTCCCCGTTTCAGAAACATAGATGCCACCTACCTCCAAGACTTGAAAGCGCTGGTAGATGTAGTGCACCATGGCAGGGTCCTGAGCATCGAGTGGTGGGGGCAGAAGGCCTGGAAGGATCAGAACCAGGAAAGCAGAAAGAAGCCTCATTCTGCAAACCACCATTTTGGGGGTGGGATCTCTTCAGCACAGCTTCTGGAGAATGGAGATCGAGGTCCCAGTGATGGTCTGCTGCTTTTTAGCCGCTGCTGTGGCAAATCCTCTCAAAACAGCCTCACCGAGCAGAGCTTTCTTGTTATTCCCCCAGATGCATGAGCTCACTTTGCAAGCTGGTGATCAAGTCCAGCTGTTGGCAAGCCAGACCCTGGGAGGCCTTGCAGGCCCTCTTGGGGTGGAGGGTTTCCTGTGTCCAGTCTCTATGGTCATTGCCCTTGACACTTGGGGATTGTCCCCAGGCAAGTGGCTGCTCCCCAGTGGAGGAGAATGTGCATTGCGTTGGGGGCAGGGAAGCTTCTCCCCTCTCCCCAGGACTTTGCTTTTTACTTTCCCTTTCCTCCTCCCTAATGGATTCTGCACTCCAATCACAGTCCCGACCTCACTCAAGCCACCCCCAGTTTCTCAGAGTTGGAATCTCAGTTTAGTTTCTGGCAAAAGTTTCCAGGATCCTTTTCCCAGAAGTCCTGTTGGGAGACCCCACCCCTCCTCCAGACACTGTTGGCATTCCAGGAGCTCTTAAAGGCACAGCCAGGGGAAAATATGAAACCTCTACTGTATCTCAGTCTCCGAACAGCCAGAGAGAGATTGAGATATAATGGGCCACAGACCTGCCTCCCAGAAAGGCAGTTAAGAAATATAAGGTATGAACTCTGAAGAGTTTAACTGAGGCACAGTAATAGGTCTTGGGCCTCAGTGGCTTCCAGAGCCAACTCACAGGGAAAGGGAGCTCTTTTGTCAGTCCCTCAGTTCCTGGGAACCAAGTTCCGTTCCCCTGTAGCTGCAGGCCAGCAATGCACAGGGCTCAACTCCTGGCAGCTCCATTTCTTCAACCCTTACTCTCCAGATTTTGTTGGAGATGAGTCACCCTGTAGGGCAAAGTGTTACAATCTTGTATTTTCTGTAGTACTTATCTAGGGCTTTACCTACTTCAACCTCTTCTTACATGGAGGGCCAGGTTACTCATGGTTCTTTCTAACCTACTATAGGAAAAAGGTTGCAGACATATGGGATGTGGAAAGAATTCTGGCCGGAAATCAGAACACCTGGGTTTGTATTGGGCCCTTTAAGAGACACCGAAAGGCTAAAGATATTCCAGTGTGACCCTTCTTATTCCCTGTTGAGGCACCATTATACCTCTCTTCCACATGACCTTAACCCTTAATCCTTCCTTTATGCCTTCCTGGTAAAAATCACAACACTGGCACCTCGTCCTTAGGAACAAACCCTGGGGCCTAATGTACAGTGGGTAGTACATTGGCCTTAGATGCAGCTTACTTGGGTTTTATCCTCATCACCCCATATGGTCCCCTGAGCCCTGAGCACAGTGGGGTGTGGCTTAAAAACAAACAGAAAATAAAGAACAATCCCTCCTATTGCCAAGAAAATTTATTTTTGATGCTTGGGCCATATCCTGTCATACTCAGGAGTTCGTGCTGGCTCTGGGATTGGAGATCACTCCTAGGGATGCTCTGGGAACCACATGGAATGCCAGTGGTCAAACCAAGATTGACTACATGCATGGTCAAACCAAGATTGACTACATGCAAGGAGAGCTCCTTAAGTCCTGTACTATCTCTCCAGTCCCCAGGAAACATTTTTCAAATACTTTACAAACTAACTGGACTTGGCTGATTCCATCCCTTAAATCTTCATTTTAAAAATTGCACTTGAGGAGCTGGGAAGAATGTACTTGTCTGGCATGCAGCTGATCCTGGTCCAATCTCCAGCACTGCACATGGTCCCTCAAACAAGGTCAGATTACTCCTGAGCCCAGGGGCAAGACTAGCCCTGAGCACCACTAAGTAGCTCCATCCCTTCCAAAAATTTATTCAGTAAAATTATCACTTTACTCAGCCACCTTTCCCTAAGAGAAAGCCCTTTTGTGAAGTTGCCAGGAAAGGAGGGAAGGCATTGTTGAAGGAGGTTGTGTGTTAAAGACTCTGCTGTTGTTGGTCTTCCTTGTACTTCAAGCCATGGCTTTGAGATGGTGAAGAAGGATGGATTGAGGTCCAGCAGAGGAAAACAAAATTAGTAACTGGTTGTCAGTGTTGTTGATAATCCTTTTCTTGGTGTTATATACAGGCTTATATTATGTTTGCAAAGAAATATGCAATCGACACTAACGATATCCAAAGAATCATTGGAGGACCAGAGATAAGGCTCAAGTGACAGAGAATGTGCTAGCATGTAGGAGATTTAGAATTTAATCCTCAATTCCACCTACACCCCTGAGCACCCCTGGGCTCTGTATCAATTAGCAAGTCAATGAGAATGCAGAGAAGGCTTCTGTGGCAACATGGGTTTTCAGAATGAATCTAGTGCTCATATTTTTGTATTTTTGGGGTGACCTCCTAAGAACTTGGTCTCAGAACCCAGCAACTCAGCTCTGCAGGTACAGATTATCTGTCGACCAGTGAATCTTTCTCTCTCTCTCTCTCTCTCTCTTTCTCTCTCTCTCTCTCTCTCTCTCTCTCTCTCTCTCTCTCTCTCAAACCAGTTTCATAGGGGTAAATTCTGGGCATGAACTGTTCATACCAGGTCTCTGTAACAGACTTTCCTCTTGAGATCCCAGAAGGATCCTCTACCTAGTCCATTAATGCTAATCCATCATGGGAAAAATTCACATGGAAATCCCTCATGTTCTATGTCTAGGGGGGTTTATAAAGAGAGAGGAAGAAAGGGGAAGGCTATCAAGAGTGCAGTGGGTAGGACTCTAATTTAGCATGTGGCCAACCTGGGTTCAATCCTGGCATCCCATATGGTTCTCTCAGATCCCCAGGAGTGTTCCCTGAACACAGAGCCAGGAAAAAGTCCTGAGGATCACTGAGTGTGGCCCCAAAACTGAGAGAGAGCGAGAGCTTAATTGACTGATCGCAAGCCTACATCTCAGTCTTTGTGAGATGTGAGCAATTTGTCTTACATGCAGCTGACTTGGATTTGATCCTCAGCACCCCATATGGTGCCCAGAGCCCTAAGCACAGTGGGGTGTGGCTTAAAGACGAACAAAAAACAAAGGTCCAAGCACAGAGCCAGGATGTAAAAAGTTTGGATTCAATCGCTGGTACAAAGTGGTCCCCTGGGCAGCAGCAGGAGCAAATCTTAGGCACAGAGCCATGAGCAGCTCCTGAGCATAGCTGTGTGTGAGACTCCAAATAAAAAAAGAAAAGTAAAACTCTCTTTGGAGATAGTCATGGCTTTGACTGACGCGATGGCCATCTTTCTTCTGGGTTGGCCTCACCTGATAGAATGAAAACAATGCTGGTTACCCCTTAGCCTGCTGTTGGAAGAAAATCATTCTGTTCACTCTGGTTCTCCTCCATTTTATCTCTGGCCAAGCTCAGGACAGAGGACAGTGATCAAGCACAGTGATGGCCTCTCTTTTCTCCTCTGCAAGTGTCTAGTCCTTTTGTCTTTCTTCGCTGGTAGCCTAAGAAAGAAAACTAAGCCTTTGATTGTCACCACTCTGTCCTCAGAGTGGTTAGATCTAGGTCACTTGCTCTGTGTCCGTAAGCCTGGTTCTGAATTTTTCCCGGGTGATCAGTCAGAATTGGCTCAGTAGCCTCATCCATGTGAAACCCGTCTGTCCAAAGAACTGATTCCACCAGCTTCCAGGTCCTCTTGAAGCCTTTGTTTCTTTATCACTGGGGCCTCTTTGGCTGTTGTGACTTCATATTCCTCCACCCCCTGGTTTCTTGAACCCCCTCTGCATACTGTACCCTTCACTCTGTTAAGAGGTGACTAGACAACTCCAGAAAAGTATGAAGTCTTTGAGGAGGAGTTTTTTTCTACTTTACTTTGTTTTTAGAGATCCATATGGGGATTAAACCTGCACCTCAAGGATGTAAAGTATATACTCCAACCTGTTGAGCTACCTCCCTGTTGAGTATTTCCTTGGCCCAACTCTCTGCTTTCTTAGAGAGACAAAATTGAATTCAATAGAATCCCACCTAAAATACTAAAATTCATCAGATTAGAACAGGATATCTCCTCATTTAAGAATTTTTTTCCCTTTATATTTTATTCAGAATTCATGTCCCTTTACCCCCACATGCAGTAGCTTTTTGCCTTAATGTCATCCTCCCAACCTCCAACCTTTTACGAATAATTGTGTTGTTTCCTGCCTGAGTGGTTGGAGTAGGCTCTAATTCTCTTTCTTTGTCTCTTTGGATAAAGCATTGGTTGATTTTATGCCAAAAGGAAAGCTGTTTTCAGTGTGACCTCAGCCAACCCCTCTTACTTCAGCCCTTACCATACACTGTTCACATGAGCCATATCTAATCACTCCCAAGCTCTCTATAAATTTTAATATTGTGGTTGGTGTTTTTGCTGAAGTAAGTCCCCTCTTCTAGAAATATTTATCTCCCTTTGTAACTAGTGAATTCTTACTTGTTCTTCAAGTCTTCCCACCACCTCATTACTCCCATCCAAGGCAGAGCAATTGCTGCCTCATATGTATCCATAACAGTTGAAGTTTGACTCTTGGAAATTGGACAAGGAAGATCAGTCCTTCCTTCCTTCCTTCCTTCCTTCCTTCCTTCCTTCCTTCCTTCCTTCCTTCCTTCCTTCCTTCTTCCCCTCTTTTTCTTTCTTTCTTTCTTCCTTCTTATTGTATCACCATGAGATACACAGTTAAAAAGTTGTTCAAGGGCTGGAGCAATATCACAGTAGGTAGGGTGTTTGCTTTGCATGCAGCCGACCCGGGTTCTATTCCCAGCATCCCATAGGGTCCCCCAAGCACTACTAGGAGTAATTCCTGAAGTGCAGAAGCAGGAGTAACTCCTGAGCATCACCGGGTGTGACCCAAAAAGCAAAATAATAATAATAATAAAAGTTGTTCATGATTGGATATCAGTCCTAGGATGTTCCAACATTCAACCCTTCAGGAATATACATTTCCCATCACCAATGTCCTCAGTTTTCCTCTTGCACCGCCT